CATCTTTTAAGGTTGACCTCGTCCAAACCGTGATAAATTCAACAAATGGTGTTACCTTCTATATTATGAAATTATTTCTCAGTGGATTGACTTTCTTTGAAAAAAATAAATCATGAGGTGTACATTAGTTGTTAATTTGCTTTGTGATTTTGATCACAATTCATATGAATATCCAAACTCAATATTTAAAGATATATTTTAATGAAATCATTATTAATTTAAAATATTAATTATATGTTGAACTTCATTGGTGATATTTTGTGATCCTCAGAAAATATTACTACCTTATTGCCAATATAACAAAAATCTCAAAGCAAGTATATCAAACCTTGATGTAACCTCTTTGATTGTTTAAACCCAATATGATTCAAGAAGTTACAGATATTCAGTTAAAGTCATAAAACTATTAACTTTACTTTATTTTTGGCATATAATATGAGAGTGAGTTTGCCCTTTTAGACTTGGACTTCAAGTTTAGTGAGAACAACATGTAATCCAAGTACTATTTTACACTAACCTACTTTCAAAACTAGACTGAGCCTACATTGATCAAACAAGACTCACATTAGCTTTTCAGTTCCACTTCATCAACGCTCCCACCCCTCATTATCTTATCTTTTTTTTTAACATTGGTGGGCATGATTGATCCATCAATATGTGATGGGCTGATAGTATTCAAGGCTTACAAGCTTCACCTCTAGAATGCCTAAAATGTGATTAAACCCTATCCATATTTAGTTGAAGGAAACCTATTTCATTTTAAGTGGGTTTATTATTCTAAAATAAATCAGAGATTGCTGAAATATAGTGCATGTATGAATCTATGTTCACTGTAAATAGATGTTAACCATTAAGTAGACTGGATATGTGGCCAATTTGTTTTCTTGATAGCCAATTAGTGTATGTAAGGTCACTTATTATGCAACATGGGATTTACCACAATTGGTAAGTCTGAAGACCAAACAAAGTCAACTCCATTTTTGACCTTTGTAGGTATGCTCAAGAAAAAAATAATCCTCATCCAAAGGCACACGATATGCTACAAGTAGTCTCTATGGCGCAATAACCCCTCTCTCTCTCTCTCTCTGGCATGGTGGTAGCGGGCGGTGGTTGGGGGGCTGGAGGCGATGGCAGGGGAGCGCGAAGGTAGGGCGGCGGACAGGGGCGGCGGCGAGTGGAAGGCGGAACGTCGGCGGGCTACAATGGTGGCGAGAGGCGGCTGTGACTACAGCTAAGGCGAGGGCAAGCCGATGGCGAAGGGATGGAAGGAAGGAGAACTGGGAGAAGAGGGGGGGAAAGGAGAAGGTCCAGATCAAACGATCTGGTAAGCAAGCTACGCTTCGACCTCAAAATGCACTGTCCAAAGCTAGAGGTCTCTCGGCCAATTTATAAGCCTCAAGCATGATTTGGTGGCGCGGTGTGAGTGATGGATGCTTGAGTTATCAAATTGATCCTCCACTCGCGCCTCTCCAGCTGTCGGCGGCTACGCATTCTTCAGTAAATGGCGACTGGGCTAGTGCTGCATCGCGCCGCCATTTTCTGTCGCCACCACCCGGTGCCTCACCGTGGCAGGAGCAGAGAGGAAGCCTCGCTGGAGGCCCTCCCCAACGCCGCGGGGCTTCGGCGTTGAAAGGATTGGGGGAGGGGGGAGGAGTGACCATGCCCCAAGGGTTGACTCCGACGGCTTCCATCGCAGACGTCGCCATCGGCGGCGGCTCTGAGCATCTCGACGCCACCCACGTTGTCGTCTGCTCTCCCAGAAGCCGAGAAAGACCATGACTTTCGTTTCCCATCGTGACAAGTCCGGTCTAGCCAAATTGATAATCTTCTACTTTTTAAAAATAAAAGAAATATTTAATTACATTACGTGTGAGGAAATATATATGGAAAACAAATGGTTTAAATTCTCACAATCATATGTTATTTCATTAAATAGAAATTAGTTAAAGCATCTATATCTAACTATTTATTAGTTATTGAAATATAATATGCCAACACTTAATACTACTATATATACAAATAATTAAAGGTTTATTTTGTCTTGGGTGGAGGAGAGAGATTGTTGAGAATAACAATGAGTTTATGAGCTGATGTAACTCACTTGTAGATTCAATGGGGGTTGTTGAATTGGCTTCCTAGATGTCTTAAATAGTTTTTATTAATTTAAAACTATTTCTTCAAAATTGAAAATAGTAGGCTGACAAAAAAGGTCAAGTGAGTCAACGCACTTTCTAAAAAGTGGTTGACATATATTTATAGTCGTTGAGGCCTAGGACCCTACATTTGATTTCCACTATTATTTTGTCAATTGAAGCTAATTTTCACAGGATTAATAAATCCATTTACATGATTTTAGTAGAATTACATGCAATATATATGTATATGAGGCCTAAAAAATATATTTATATAGTATAGAAAAACTATATCTAATGGTTTAGATCTAGATTTATCAATTAGTGTATTTAAACATATTTCACAATATTTTTTTAATTTCATATGTATGCAATGGGCTGATAGTAAATTTGATATTTTAAATCTCAAATGTCCATTGAGATGGGTTTGACCATCTCAAATATCAAGCCCATATTAATTGATATGGGTTTGACCACATTTTCAAAATCGCTGGAGATCCATATGTATGCAATGGGCTGATAGTTTGGTGGGCTCACAAGCTTCACCTCTAGAACGCCTAAAATGTGGTCAAACCCAATCAATTGCAAGTCTAAATATTTATGTTCGCCATCTTGGACTTTGTTTGAGAAATATTAATTATTTAATACCCTGAAAATATAAAATATGTATTATGGATGTTAATGTCAACATAAATAAAGGTGCTATGTGATATCATGTTCAAGAACGGGTTTGCAATTTCACTACATTGCTGGCTTCCAAAAATAAATAATTATTATTTTATCCTATTTTTATATAATAAATTATTTTCATCCACCATCGTCAATGATCAGTTTATTTTGTCACAAAGAGCATGCTAGATAATTTTCACTCTTTGAAATAATTTGGAAAAATAATAAAAAGTGAACCAGATGAAAAATGGAGGATATTCATTTTTTTAATATTTTTAATATTCATAAATTTATTCTTGTGTTCTCATATATATATGAAAATATATTTTTTAAATGAGGATATTCTCTCATCGTGGGACCCGCTCAAGCCGAGTGTTGCACCACTAGCCCGCTCACTTTCGGGGTATCTTCCGGGTTGCCCTCACGCTGCCTCTCCTCCCTCGGTCAAGTTAGTCGCTCTCTTCCCCGAGGCTGGCTCGGATCCGACAAGGCAGTGGGGTTAAGACACCGCGTTCCCCGCACGTTTGGACTTGCGCGTCCCCCGATCCATTGATTTCGGGATCCAACGGCCACCGTGCGTTGTTCCTGACACGGTAAATGCCCCCGAAATGCGTATTCCCACCGTAGAGGATGTCGGCATGTGTACTACTATTTTTTATTTTCTGCACCCAAAAGATCTTATTATTATATAATTGTCTTACATATCTTATTTTACAAATTTCTTACATCTTGAGCCCAAAGATATAGATAATTGTTACAAATTTATTTAACAAAATATCCTTTTAAAGGCTCTTTACAAGTATACTCCAATATCGGGCAGATCCTTAAATATTGGATTATATTCAAAATAATCCTAAACTAGTTACTTTTACTATTTTATTTGATATTTATATATATCTCGCTCAATGGAATTGGTACGTTTTATCAAAAATGTCCTTCTTAAAGCTCACAAAGACTATGGTAATATTTTGCGTTTTGGGTAGAACCCAAATAAATGAATTAATAATATTTTATGTCCAAATGTCATTGATGATAGATTAAGTTAGTAAAAGTACCCAGTTTATGATTTTTGTCATTCATGAGAAGGGCAGATATATTAGTGGATGATGATGGCGTACAGTGTTGGGGGAGGATTTACCAACTAAATTTGAGTACTTACATATATTTAAAAGGTTAAGGAAATAAGAGTAACTTATAATATTTATAAAGGGTTTTCTATAAAAGCACGCACTGAAATTCAGAATATTATAAGCGAATGTAAAGATACTATAGAGAGTGGTGTTCCTGCCCGTTGTCCGACTGTTATCTCTGTCCTCTCTCTCTCTCTCTCTCTCTCTCTCTCGCTCTACCCTTGGTCTGTGTCTCTCTCGCTCTATTTTTTTTCTCTCTCTCTCTCGTTCAATGCTCTTGTCGCATCGCCAGCCGCAGGCGCAGCGGCTTTCTACGATTTCTTTGTTATTATTCATCGGTTGGTCCCAAATCTCTCGTTAGCCTCACATCACTCCACCTGCGCGCAGTTGTTGTTCTTCATCTGAGGCCTCTCAGCAGGCCGCCCATCAGATCCGGATCGGCGGTCGTTTCTGTGGTCGCAGTCACCTGTCCGGCAGGGAGCTGTGGTCTTCTCCCGATGTTTTCTAAATTGTGGTCCAGTTGGGTGGTCTGCTTCCCGTTTGGGAATTAGGGAGACTAGGAGAAATTGTTGCGCGGCGATTCGGCGGCACGGTGATTCCTGCCTACGGTCTCGGATTCTCTTCCTGGTCGCAATTGCTGGTGGATCAAGCTTGGATACTCTGACAGTGAGACTTGTGGAATTGGGATCTATTTTCACTCATCCCAGTGGCTGATTTCTTATCTGCTGTCGGAATTTGAGAGACTTTGATTCTTTCCGTTTCTGAGTTACTACTTATGGACAGTGCCTTTCTTTGGTTATGTGGGTTACTACCGTCTGGATCCACGGCTGCATAGGCATGATTTTCCTGGATTTCTGGGGCCTCAGGGAGTCGGATTAATGTGAAACTGCGGATGCACTCCTTGATTTTGCCACCAGTTCTGTTTCTTCTGCAGGCCTTGATTCCCCCCAGTTCAAGGGGAATATTCCGTCGCAATTGTTCCCTAGTTCTACTTCTGAGTCATGTTTACATAAGTTTAAGCTAAAAAAATCGGCCAAGCCGCAAATTCTACTGCTCGGGATCGCTCGAAATGACTCGGGCTGGGAAGAATGTGGAGTGGGATTTAAACGATTGGAGTTGGGATGGACATCTCTTTGTCGCCACACCTTTGAATGCTTCTCTGTCAAACTGCGGAAACAAACAGCTGTTCCCTGCTCCAGCTGTCGGCGAACTGCCCAACTGCTCTTTATCGTTCTCCGGCGATTCTGAACCTGGAAGCAGCGGCAGGGGAAGAGGCGAGTCAGAGAAACGGAGGAGGGAGGTGGTGGTGGTGGATGAGGATGAACCGGATGATGTTGCTGGGTCCCTCACTTTGAACCTTGGTGGGCGCGTTTATCCTGTAACAGAGCCTACAGACCCTGCAGATTGGGAGGGTAATAATGGGAAGAGGAGCAAGATGCAAGCTGGCAGTTTGATCCGAGCTGTTTGCCAAGTAGAAGGCTGTGGTGCTGATCTGAGTGAAGCCAAAGATTACCACAGACGTCACAAAGTCTGCGAAATGCATGCCAAAGCCAGCAAGGCTGTCGTTGGGAATGTTCAGCAGCGTTTCTGTCAACAATGCAGCAGGTTGATATTCAGATAGGCATTGCCTTGTTAATTTCTTCTATGCGTGTAGTTGGGAGCCTAGCAAGTGCTTATTAATGCTATCCTTATTCTGGCTAGATGCCCTGCATAGTTTCATTGTTGTATTTATAATTATGGGTTGCACATCTCTATGATAAAAAGATGCGAAGAGTGCAGGTAATATTTGAGCATAAAACTTTAGGTGGCTTCTGGATCCAATACTCATGATGGCCATGAAATAGCTTGACTTTCACTGTGATTATTTATTTATGGCGTTGAAAGGGATGAAGATAATAATTCATGTTTAAGGTAGCTGAGAGGGATAATAGAGGTGCCTAGAAAGATGCATGAACATGTAGTGGAGCTATGATTAGTGAGATCTCTAACTCAGTGAGCGTTGCAGAGGGTGCTTACCTCCAAAGGTATTATGGTTGACATAAAAAAAAGGTGACAAAGAATATAGATGAGGCCAAAAAAATGAGCTGAGGTAGGAGCTCTTACAAACTGACTCAAGATATGAACAACGTGAGTGGTCTCAGGCAAGGCCATATCTGAGTACACAAGAGCTCTAACAAGCTGTTGATAGCATGTATGATTCTCCGACGGCATCACCATTAAACGAACCAACTTGTTGTCAAAGCCATAAGAGTCAGATATGTAAGAATCAGATAAGTAACGTCATGAAGATTGCCAGGGATATCTTTGTTGTTAGATAGCATGTAACATAGTGTAGAACAAGCAACTTTGATACCAAAGAAGTAGCACAAAGATCTAAGGTCTGTCACGTAAAGCAGCTTATGAAGATGTTGCTTGCAAGAGGCAATTATAGTAGCATCATTGCTATTGATGACCATGTTGTAGTCATAGAAAAGAAGAATAGGACAACCTTTACGAGAGTTACAAAAAAATAAAGTGGAGTCATTGCCACTCTTACGAAAATAGCATAGTTTTGCTGTACCTAGCTACTGAATTGGATGGCAGTAACTCTGAATCTACTAGTTAATGTGAAGAGTAGATGATTTTGGAGTGTAGGAGTTATCTGAAACAAGATCAAACAGACCAGGGACATGGTGCATGATGGAGGAAAGCCTTCCAAGAAGTCGAGCAGTTTCAAGAGGAGTTAAGTCTTCTCCATCGAAATCGGGCACATGTTCCACTAAAGGGTGGGCCTGGACAATGGGGGTTTAAAGAGATAATGATTGCTGAAAGGGGCAGGTGCATAGGAATGAGAGATGGCTTATCAAGAGGAAAACGTTGAATAATAGGTAGAATAGGCAAAAAATAAAGATCAGAGAGAAAGACTAGATCTTATGATGAGGATGTAAAGAAGGAATATCCTCAAAAGGTGACTAGATGGGAAATGCAAAATTGGCGTTCAAACACTGACTGTGAAATGCAAAAAGGAATATTCTCAAATCATAACAATGATACCTGCGATGCTCCAAACACTGTCCAAGAAGAACGCATTTAGCTGGTCAAGGATAGCTTGATGCATGCATGGAATTGCATGTGAATAAAAAAATGGCGATACTGTTTTGTGTTGCACAAACAATTTGGCCAACCTGACTGAAGGTGTCCTCAACAATGAGCTCTCAGTATGAAGATTATTGAGCATATTGCACAGTTGATACTGGCAAGCACTATTGGCTTGATTATTTTATTTTTGTTGGTAAAACGATGATATGCACTGGGTAGTGGTCTTATAGAATTCCAAATGGATGTAATGATGACTAGAATGTAAGATGTGTCCTATGGTGATATTGTCTCTATCCTTTCATATTAAAGATAGGGACCAGTTGCGATTGGAGAACAAGAAGATAAGTAGTCAGAGTGATGGAAGCATCATTATTAACCCACAACTTTGGCGCTTTGTAGGTTGATTCGTGTGGAGACCAACTGTAGCAAGAAAATCCATGTTTGAATTTGTTAATTAAGTTAGTGGATCGTATGAATGTGTCTTGGGAATACCTGTTGACTCCTGTACCACTAGATGGAAATGGGTTGGATAGGAAGCTCGAAGTTAGCACAGCCATACTGGAAGGATATCCCAGAGCTTAGGATGATGAAGAAATAATTGAAAGTAGTTTACAACTTCTCAAAAGAATCGAGTTTTTCTTATAAGAATTGACAATGAACTGAACTTTTTTTTTTTGTTATTGTATTGATGTAAAGGTGAATATTTCCAAATGTTTAACTTCTAATTTATGAAACATACAGGAAATGAAATCAATTTTTTTCCCTTTCCTTTATTTAAAAATGGATATTTAGAAGTCAGATCATTGGGCGTAGAATCTGTGACCCGAAAATTGATCGCTGAGAACAAAAATTGTGATTGATTCTCATTTATTGTTTGTGCTACATGGCATGCTATGCCTACCTTTTAGGTTCTCATTTATTTTTGTTGAATTTACTGTAATGGTGTGTAACAATGGGTTTCTTTCATATCCTCTACAAGTTTATGAAATTCTCTTAAAGTTATGCTTGTCTAGGTTTCACCTTCTGCAAGAATTTGATGAGGGAAAGAGAAGCTGCCGTCGACGGTTAGCTGGACACAACAGACGGAGGCGGAAAGCTCAACCTGATGCTGTTGTTAATGGAACATCTCTAATGGATGATCGTACCATTAGCTATCTGTTGATAAGTCTACTGAGAATTCTCACCAACCTGCACTGTAAGCACTTTGGGATTACCTTTCGTTTACTTTTTATTTATCTATTATTTTTGTGATCATGTAATGCAATTAGAGAAACGCTTACTTACCTGAGTAGTGTCGAGTTGTAAAAATCGGTGTATGTTATGGATGGTCATACCAGCACAGATACCTCCGTACTTGCTTGCTGATTGGTCTTTCACATTGCTGTATTATGTTTTATGACGTTAAAAATAATATTTTCGACTTCGTCATGCACACAGATTTAATGTCTTTAAAATGTCCACTTAGTTTTGTTTTCTGCATTTGGGCATACGTACTGCCAAAATCTCATTGCACACTTTTTAATTGAAGCCTACATCAAGAAAATCTGTAAACAAACTAATTTAAGAAGCTCAATTTGGTCTGTAACTGTTGGTACCTCATCTGAGATTTTTAATAAAATTGGAACATCCATGTCAATGATCTTTCTTTTTAATGTACCATTATCATACTTCTTTAGTTATAATGTGTGCATTCTTTTCTTGTTGATGTAAATGTAGCTGGTGGTTCCGAGGTATTAAAAGATCAGGACCTGTTGTCTCATCTCCTGAAGAGCCTTGCAAGTCTTTCTGGATCACTTGACACAAATAAGCTAACTGGACTCTTTCAGTCGTCTCAAGAACAAGAGAATCTTAGAGCTTCTGCTGGAACATCAGAAGCAGTGCATGCTCCAGTGGAAATGCCACGGAGGGGGAACACGGTGGAAGCATCTGTGGGTGAGATGGTACAAGCAGTTCCCTGTAATCGACCTACCAACCTTGAACCTGCCCAAGAAGTCATCCCAATTGAAAAAGATGGTTTTTCCTCTCTGAAGCGAATTTTGCCAACTGTGGAGGGAGCTAGGATCAGGAGTTTTGATTTGAATAACGTCTGTAGTGATGGACCTGAAAGCACCGATGAACCTGATCATTTATTTATCCCTGAAAGTCGGCAGCAAGATTCTCCCTATCACCTTCCCTGGGCAGCACAGAAATCCAATAAGACTAGTCCACCACAAACATGTGGTTTTTCAGATTCTGCATCCGCACGATCACTGTTCACTCTCAATGGAGGTGTCCAGGTATATGTTTTCTCCAAGTTTCCCAAAGAAATTCTCCTTCTATTGTACATAGATTTTATATATTTGTATATATATTATATAGTTTCTTGTTCTGGGAGCTTACACAAACAAAAGGCTGGACAAAGTGAAAACTTTTATAGGTCTTGGAAGTCCGAATGCAAATCAAGTTAATGCTAATCAAACCCATGGGTAATTGTTATTTATCTCCACTAAGTCGGGGTTGTTAATTCTAATCAAGTTAATGTGATAACTTGCATGCTTCAAGTTAATTGCTATAGGTCTTGTTGGAATGTTGAGGAATGCTATCCGGATCCTAGAACTCCATTTATCATAATTTTTGCTGCGAGTCGGGATCCTATAGCGTTTATTATTTTCTGGTGCATTTCTGTCTCAAGAATTCTTACCCAGAATAGCAGGTCCTGTTCCCTGACTTGTGGCTGGTTGGGTAACTCTGGGATTTTTTTTCTTCTAGTCATAAGTTGGCCCAGAAAGATTCTGCCACTAATGCATGGGGTTGATTTCGTGACGGTAGTCAGTCGCTAATATTAGTCCATTTTCTTAGGGTCATACTTGGGTTTTTAAGAAAAAAGGCTCATGATGGATTCATAGGTTTCTGCATCCTTTCGGTTTCTATTCACCAAACCCTTTAAGCATTTCGTTTGTTTGAAAGGAATCTGGGAAAATGAAACATTCTTTGTCGTGCCTTGGAAAATTCGTTACCATTTTTGGTATTGCTTGGAATCTTGCTGATGAATTCATATTTTTCAAGTTGTAATCATGATTGACGCGTTCACTCCATTTTGATGGGAGTCAGGTCAGGTTGACACGGTTGGTGGAATCTTTAGGAAGAAAGGAAGTAATCTTCCTCTTGGAGGAACGGTTCCTAAACATGATCAGAAAGTGATGGGTGGTGAGTTTTCACAGATGAGCAACTTAGATTAGGAGGAGAATGCTTGGTCATTGGACCGAATTAAGGCTATTTACGTGGCTGAGAAATTGGACCATATAGGGCTATGAGTGCGTGTGAATGTAGCTTGAGTTACTCAGGGCAAGGGCCTTTCCTGGGGGTCGAGCGCCCTCACACAGTGGCTAAATGAGGGTGATTCCACCCTGAGCATTGCTTCTTGATGGCACTTCGTCTAAGGCTGGATATGCGAGCTGAGAGATTGGAGGGTGACTCATTGCTTGCTCAAGAGGAGCTTATTGAGATTCACCATTGTTTGCTGCAGTAAAATACTGTCCCAAGAATAATGGAGATCGGTTCTACAAGGCGTCCACAAGTTGCGTGTGGGCCTATATGGATCTGTGTTTTGCTAGCTTTTTTATCACTCTCTCTCTCTCTCTCTCTTCCCTCTCTATGCTCGGTTCTCTTCACGTATCTTCTATTGGGGGAACGGTATGAAGCTCTGAAAGTTGAATAAAAAATGTCAGACCTCTTTACTATCCATGCAATTAACGAATCCATGTCTGTGCTTGTTTTTCCTGAATGGACTTTGCTCCTTGTGGCAAGTTCCATCAGCTATTTTATGATGTTAGATTGTTAGGTTGTTGCTCCATCGATAGCAATCAAACCACATCTCTTGATGTAAATGGAGGGTTTTGGCTTATAAAGCCTTGAATTTTATGGCAACTAAGACGCAGAGCATTAGGTTTCCTTGTCAGCCACCGTTACTCATTCATCTTGTTCAATTAGTTCAAGATTCTGTTCCTCGACATTGTGGTTGACTTTCTCTGGCAGGTAGAACCTTCATGCACTTGTCTGATGTGACCTGATCGCCTTCAACCCCCTTTCCCTTCCTTTCTCCTTTCCCCAAGTATTACTCCTCTGTCATATTTATATATGTGAGTTACCTTACCTCAAAAAGGGTAGGTTTTGATTCCGGCCGTTTTGCCTCTTTTTTCCCCATTTTCTCCACCCAAGAAATGACTAGGAGACTCGTATATTTTTCCCTAACTTTTCCCAAATGCTTCCATATTATTCTTCCCGTTCTTGCACACATGCTGTGTATCTCTTGCCTATGCCCAAGATCATGTCTTTGTTCCATGCACTAAGGCTACTGATCAAATGAGTGTGGACCCAATAAAAATGGATTTATGCTTCAGGTCTAGGTGCCATATGAAATGCGGGGCACTTCATGCACTGGTAGTTGACTCAAGATTGGCAGTGTTGTCACTAGCATTTGGTGATCGGTATCTATTTCTATCTCCTCTCTCTCTCTCTCTCTCTCTCTCTCTCTCTCTCTCTCTCTCTCTCTCTTTCTCTTTCTCTCTCTTTAGCAGTATGTGCCTCCTTCACTCTCACCTGTAGTTGACACGGTGTTGAGGATGATTTAATGGCAGTTACTAGTTCGAGGTTTCCTTCTCTTCTCTACACTGTCAAGTTCATGTTGTTTCATCAGCTGGCCTGTCCGAATTCATACGAGGATCACTTTTACTTCGTCCACTTCCTGTTCTAACCGGCCAATCTCTTCTCAAATCCAGAGCCGTACGGATCGCATGGTTTTCAAGCTCTTCGGCAAGGACCCAAGCGACTTCCCTCTTGTTCTTCGGAGTCAGGTATCGTGTACCCTTTCAGGAAATTTTCTCATTCATCTCATTTGAGCACAAAGAAGCCAGATTAGTAGGCTGAGTCCTGCCTCATAGGATGCCTTACTGAGAAAATCTTGTAAACTTTCAGATCCTCGACTGGTTGTCCAACAGTCCTACGGACATGGAGGGCTACATCAGGCCCGGTTGCCTCATTCTAACCGTTTACCTTCGGCTGGCTGAATCCACCTGGGAGGAGGTATCCTTCAAGAAATAGTGACTTCTCTAGCACAGAACTGTGCTCCATCATGCTAATCTCCGGTTCCCTGTCTGGCAGCTTTCTCATAATCTGAAGCCAAGCCTAGAAAAACTCTTGGCCATGGCTGGTGATGACTTCTGGCAAACTGGGTGGCTATATGCCACGATACAGCATCAGATCGCCTTCGTCCTCAATGGTTCGTCTCATCGGTCCTCAAGTTTTCTTTATTTCCTCCTAATATGAACCGAAGAGCCAGAGTTTTTTCTCTAACTAGGGTTTCTTCCTAAGAGGCAGGTTGTGTTGTGCTAGATACTCCTGCTCTTCTTGACGCCCACAACCATTGTGAAATATTGAGTGTCTCCCCCATAGCCGTTTGTGCTTCTGAGGGGGTCAGATTTACAGTCAAAGGTCTCAACTTGGCTCGGTCTACCAGGTATCTGACCCATCTCTGATCACAGATTATCTTCCCCATTTCTTTTTATCTCCTAGATTCATATCGACTCTTCTTACTTCAGGCTTCTCTGTGCATTTGACGGCAAGTACCTAGCTCAGGAGACGACCCAAGCTCTCCCCAGCAGCAATGATGCCAGTGCAGGAGGAAGTCAACGGGTCCAGTGCCTCCACTTCTCCTGCTCCGTCCCTAGTGGGACTGGTAGAGGGTTCGTCGAGGTTCTCCTTCTCTCTCTTCTCTCTCTTCTTCTTTACCGTTTTCTTTTCATTTTTCTTCCAGAATTCTGCAGGAACCTGATTCCTCTCTCCTCACCAGGTCGAGGACCACGCTCTCAGGAGCTCCTTCTTTCCATTTATAGTTGCGGAGGAGACCGTGTCGGCTGAGATATGCACATTGGAGGGCGTAATCAATGAAAACTACGACGACATGGCCTCTGGAGCGGAGGCGAGGAAGCGGGCGCTGGACTTCCTGCATGAAATGGGCTGGCTTCTGAGGAAAGCCCACCTGAGGTTCTGCTCACTGGGGGCGGCAGAAGACTCCGATGCAGGCTTCTACCCTCTGGTGCGGTTCAGGCGGCTCATGGAGTTCTCCATAGACCAGAACTGGCGGGCGGTGGTGAAGAAGCTCCTCGATGTCCTCTTCAGCGGAGCTGTGGTGGTGGACAGCAATTCCCTTGATCTGGCCCTGTCGGAGATGTCTCTTCTCCACAGCGCTGTGCAGAGGAATCGGAGTCCCATCGTGGAGCTGCTGCTGAGTTACGTGCCCAGTATTTCAGAGGGCGCGCAATCCGAGGAGGGCCGCCATCCCCGGAGCTTCCTGTTCAGGCCCGACATGCCCGGCCCATTCGATGTTACTCCCCTTCATATTGCCGCCAGTAGGGCTGATGCAGAGGGTGTGCTAGATGCACTGACCGATGATCCTGCGCAGGTATTTGAAATCCAATTCACTGGAATTTTTTATTTTTTTATTTTTTGTTCTGAGGTGACAAGATTTCTCATCATGATCGTATCCCATCATCATGCTATGGAGACCCTTTTCCTAAAAAAGTAATTTTTAGTTAAAAAAATCATGATATTTGGCAAGGAAGAGTGTTCTTGCTACTTATGAGAATTCTTATTCTTGAACAAAGTAGTATCTTTTAGCAGGAAAATCATGCATTTTTCAAGGTTGAGTAGAGCTTTCCTTGCTGTTTTTGGGATGGTAGACAAAGTTCGGAAGATTGCATGAGCTTCTCATGGAAATTCTTAGTCTCATGGGATTTTTTTATATTAAATATAAAAAAACCTATCTCAGGGTTTAGCCGAGGTTTCCTCGCTTGTTCTTCAGGGATCAATCAAAGCTTGGAAGATTGCATCAGCTTCTCATTGGAGATTCTTTAAAATACTCATTTCTTTAATTAGTACCATATCTACTTCAGACCCGAGTCAAGATTTTCCTCATCATCTGTCAGGTGGGGATCAAAGCCTGGACCGGGGCCCGCGACAGCTCCGGCTTCACTCCAGAGGACTATGCCCACCTCAGAGGTTATGAATCATACACACAGCTTGTACAGAGGAAGATCAGCCGAGCCTCAGAGCCCCACCACCTCGCCATCAACATCTCTCCAATCTCGGCAGACCACCCGGCCGCCGCCACCGCCACCGTCGCCGCTACGGCCTGGGTGAGCCCCAGTAAAAAAGGCGCCACCTTTTGCATCGAGAAGAAGGTGGAGGCTCTGCCAGTGGCGGCACCGCCTTGTGGGGTCTGCTTGTCCCGGCGGTGGCCACCACGCGCCGCCGGCCGTGTGAATTTTATCTACCGGCCGACGGTGCTGCTCATGGTGGGGATTGCTGCCGTGTGCATCTGCGTGGGGCTGCTCCTGCACAGCCCCCCGGAGGTGTTCTCCACCACCCGTAGGCCGTTCAGGTGGGAGCTGTTGAACTATGGATACATTTGACTTGTTAGATCTGTGCGAGCTGTGCTGTTGTTCTTGTTGTCTTTGCTGGGTGGTGGAGATGATGATGCTAATGATGATGCTAATGATGATGGCTGGATTGCCATGGTTGTTGGGTGTGTCTGTTTGTGGTGAGGAGGCAGCCATCTGAGATCTCAGAATGAGAGAGAGAGAGAAGGAGAGGGGGAGAGAGAGAGAGAGAGAGAGAGAGAGAGTTGGTGGGGCCCATAGACATTGCGTGTTGTTATTTGTTTCCTAACGCTCTCTCTCTCTAAAAGTATATATAAATCAAGCAATGCTGTCACTGCTGTGTTAATCCAACCAGGATATGCTGACGTTGTTGATGGATCAACGGGGCCGCAGGAACAGCCAAAGATAGGATCTTACCAAATACCCCTACTGAGACGCCCTAGAACCCAAACGTAGAGGGTGTTTCTGTCAATTACCATCCAATCGGAGCGTGAAACGGACTTTCATGAGGTTGACATCTCCCTTCGTCAACTCCACCGCGGACAGGAGGAAAACTACAAATCGGACACGTTTGGTTGGAATTTTACATACGTAGCCTGGTCAAATTACACAATCACCACTGCAAAGAAGGATATTTACGCAGGCAAAGGTTTCTCCCTGAGGGTACATTCACAAATTTCAACGGCACTTGGGCAAAGAGCCATGGAACGAGGGTACATTCACAAAAAAGTATTTTCAGAACGGCAATTCTGAAATGGCAGTATTTGAAGGGGGGTAAATATATCAATCATGCACATTTTCTTTTTGAAAACGGTATTTTACCTGTAGGGGAGGGTCTCCCAGTTGGAGCCGCCCAAAATGGATAGGTCCAAGGAAAGTATAGATACATTAAATCAGCAGCAGAGTTGACTCCAGCTGCCTGCCACCTTGAAGAGAGAGAGAGCGACAGGGTCGGCAATGGTGAAAGAATTGAATGGGAGATGGAAGAAGCCTCATGTCTTAAGAATGCTCCACCACTAGTTCCCTGGATGGTCACGAGATAACCACGAAAAGACAGATTTTTTTTTTTTTTTTTCTAGACGAGTCGAGAGGTGATTGACCTTCACCCACGTACATGACACGTGGAAGATGAATCATTATCTCCATTAACAAGGAGGGATTCTTTTTTATTTTTTATTTTTTATTTTTTATTTTTTATTTTTTATTTTTTATTTTTTATTTTTTATTTTTTATTATAGGGGGATTCAACAGGGCATGGAATCTTGAACTGGAACATGCGAGCAGACTCAGATCATAATTGTAACATCTCACAATGTCACAGATGCCTGACGGGAATATAAAATCAGGCACTTCAATAGATGTGACACATAACTCGTCTCTGGATCAATAGAAGCAATCGTAGGTGCTTTCATGTGCAGTGACGTATAAGGCCTGCTCCTCCAGACAAGTCAAAGCCTGCCATGAACACAGCATATTATATAATCCCCATCACCTCTAATCTTCAGGCTGGTTGAAGCCTGGCCAAAGCCAGAGGGGAGGGATGGCCCAGGGGATGGGGAGTGATCGGCATGAATCTCTGATGGCGGAGCTTGAGGAGATTGGGAGGAGCATGAGGTCGTCTTTTAGACTCCACAACCCAAGCTCTCGCCGGAGCTCTGGCGCCTTCTCGGCCAGGGACCAAGATGAAGAGTACGAACTGCAGTGGGCTGCGATCGAGAGACTGCCTACGTCAGACCGCCTGAGGTCAGCGCTGTTCTGGCGTCCAGATGATGTGGAAGGGGAAGGGGAGGAAAGGAAGAGGGAAGCGGTTGATGTTACTAAGCTCGGGGCCTTGGAGAAGCACCTATTCATCGAGAGTTTGATTAAACACATCGAAGATGACAATCTACGGCTGTTGCAGAGGCAGAAGGAGAGAATAGATAGGTAACAGTTTTAGTTTTCCAATTCTATATCTGTAAATGAATGAATGAATGAATGAATGAATGAATGAATGAATGGATGAGGAAACATGCCATGCCGTGTTGAACCAATGCATTAAACTTCACAACTGAGGGAAGAATTTGGCGGGTCAATGATGATAAGTAGAACAATTGAAGGATGAACCAGCATGGGGTGGAATATGTCGGAACCCATTTTCCAAGAAATCTGCACTCAAATTAACTGCGTCTGAGAAATAGAAGAGCAATGGGTGAGCTTGTAGTTTTGCATGAATAGTCCACAGCACTTAAAGAAGCATTTACTGGTGGTGAAATATTAGAAATACAGAAGAGGAAAAATAAGCAAACGCAGTATGAAATCCACAACGATTCATCAGAAAAAACTCCACTCACTGAGTGTGCTCAATAGCATACAACTGAGTGTGCTCGCAGTTCTGCATGAATCTTATTGCACAACTGAATAAGAATTTTTTAGAACAATGATAGTAAGCAGAGTAGATAAGCATCAGCATGAACAGGATAAATATGCCGGAATTCATTTAATGGAAATCCGCATTCGAATTCATCACGTTTGGGAAATAGCAGAGTGAGGAGTGTGCTTGTATTTTTTTCTATGAATATAGTTTCTGGTTAATGACTATAGATCCAGTAGCTAATTCTATGCAAACAAGGGATTAAAACTATCCCGGAATTCATTGGCAGAAATCTGCGTCCAAATCGAATTGTTTTTAAGAAGCAATAGAGTTGATGATTGTGCATGTATTTTCTGATGAACACCGTTTCTCTCCACGACAAAGTGCAGAGTCAATGTGAAATTGCCCACCATCGAGGTCAGATATGAGAATCTGACGGTAGAGGCAGAGTGTGAAGTGGTTCAAGGGAAGCCCCTGCCAACCTTGTGGAATACCACCAAGAGCTTCTTCCTGGTGAGTAGAACCCCTCCATCAGAAGGTTGTTGTTTCCTTTCTCGCACTAAACTAACATTTAAGGTAAATATCTTGGGTAGCTATTTCTCGGGGTTCTTCGCATTGAATTGACGGCTCCATAGCGCTCTATTAGTTTTAATTCAATTTTTAATACCAATGAGTTATTTGATTCTTCAAATTTCATTTACTGTGGAGCTTTCCATGGAACAGAACTTGGCGAGGTTGCCCTGCATAAAAACTCGAGAAGAAAATATCACAATCATAAAAGATGTCAGCGGTATTATCAAACCTTCCAGGTACGCACACCAGGAACACCATTCAATTTCCTGAATGCAGAGACCATTTTTTTTTTATCCGGGTCTTCACTATTTTTTCTTAATACTGCATATAAACAATCATTCACCCATTTTTATAATTCCCATTTAATGGGATTTCCACAAAAAAAATATGTGAAAATGAGAATGTTTTGGCTGCAGGATGACTTTATTACTCGGACCTCCAGGATGTGGGAAAACCACCTTCTTACTGGCGCTTGCAGGGAAACTGGACCAGTCTCTCAAGGTTTCATTTCTTCTAGTTTCGACAGAAATAAAGAAAATAATACTCATAAGGTTCCCTATTTCATATAAAATGCTTGCTTCAAATGATCCGTAAAGCCTTGGTTTTCTTGTAGTTTCTAAAATATCCCTTTACTCATGAAACTATATTTATGTTTGGTTCCAATAACTTTATTCTTTGGAAATGACTGAGCACATTCGGATTTTATCCTGTCTCACCCATGCAAAACTAGGTCTTTGTATAGGTGATGATACCCAGCTTATACCTCATAGCCTTGGATGCCTATGTTTGTTGATTAGAAAATAACTTCTCTCCTGAACTCCATGAACATAAAGGCATCTAGATGGGTCACTTCATTGGATACTTAGCTATAAAATAACAGAACTAGTTATCACTTTTCACCAGGCCCCAATCTAGATCTAACTGGGCCGAAGACTCCTGTGGGCTTTTGAGTCCACAGACATTCAAATGCCTTGCTATCGCTTCTTTCTGGAGCATAGGATCATCTCCAGCCTAGAAAATGGAAGGATGACTAAGGTTACTAACGTGGGCACCCTCTGCGCTCATTTGCATGTGGGGAATGATTGTAAACCACTCAATCGCCTAAAGGGCCCACATTCTAAACAGCTCGCTAACACGCTAACCTGAGGGTGGGCATATTCCAGTAGACTTTGTAACACTCTCTTTGTTGCTTGTCCACGACGTTGATGAATTTTCTAATTGGCTGCTGCCATCATTGGGAATCTTCACAACCATACCCTCCGGTTTTGATGCCCACCCGCTTGACAGTAATTCGGAACACTGGCTGCTAAAAAATCATATCCAACCTTGACGTAAAAATGAGAACTGGAGAATAAGATCAATACCTTGGGGTCTAGCAGTAGAAGCCACGGCCAACCCCCAAATCCGCAGTTTTAGAAGAGCACATCATCATTGACTTTCCCAATTCATTCTGTGTATGATATCAGTGTGGCCATTGCATCTCTACCTTTATCAATCATGTCCTCATAGAATATGCCTGGTAAAGGTGGGAAACTTCCCATCTGTGAGAAAAAATAGTCAATACAACAAGTCTCTTCAGCAGTTCTTGCAATTCAAATGCTTAAAAGATTTTTTAACATACTGAACCTCCAGGTTTCCGGAGAAGTTTCTTACAATGGCTTGAAACTAGACGAGTTTGTTCCTGCAAAGACATCAGCTTATATCAGTCAATATGATCTTCATATACCGGAGATGACAGTAAGGGAAACTCTGGACTATTCAGCACGATTTCAGGGCGTTGGAAGCAGAGCAGGTACATATATTGACGATGCTTAAACTTTGAACATGTTGACTAACCTCTAAAACTAAATGGCACTTCTTTGTGAAGAAATAATGAAGGAAGTTAGTAGAAGAGAGAAGCAGGCGGGAATTATTCCGGACTCGGAAATCGACACCTACATGAAGGTAGAATGATCTCCTGAGACTTGGAATTTTATGAAAAATTATGGATCATTCAATTGGAATGAGCATTTTTGCAGTTTCAACCCATGAAACTATAGGAGATATTCATAATATAAACTGCATAAATGTAATATAAATTATTCCATGTCGCAAGTGTTTATTTGGTGAACTTTCTGAGCATCAATACCTGAAAAAGAGCTTCCTGAAACAGGCAATATCTGTGGAGGGACTAGAACGAAGCCTGCAAACAGACTACATTTTGAAGGTAATATTTTTTCCAAGAAAATGAAGTTACACTTTGAGTGACTGAGACTAAAATAATATACAGAATTTATACCACATTCTGGGTTCAGGTATCCAAAACAGCAGAAGAGAAGACATACGACCACCCACTGTGTATGAGTAATAAGTTGAACGACTTAGTGAAAAAATGACTCACCACTTGTTGGACGTCCATCCCCAAATAGTTCACCTGCATGTCGGACAACATAAACCATTCCAATTCTGTGTTCCACACAGTAATTTTTCAGTTTCAATTAAAAGTTGTTGGAATTTTTTTTGAAGTAAAAGGTTAATTTCTGCATCTATGTCCCATTACTTTTGCTGACGACACCCCCACAATAAAGAAAGGTGCAGGTTAGTGCGTTCAAAGTAGCTAGATCTTTGACACTGAAACAACAAGTCGTGGGTGACTTAGTGCAAAGCATCTGGGTATCTTCATCAGGGTGAATAGTATCCACTGTTTGATTTATATACGTCATGCACAAATCCTTATTGTGAGTAATACAAAATGCAGCAGTTTACTGCATTGTGGGTTTTTTAGATTGAATGAGATCCATAAAGAGAGTGAAGGCAAAGATAAGGTTTCTATGACAGTGCTAATGAAGGCGAGAAATAACTTTTCCAGCTTTCACAGGTGTCTGAATTCCTAAGCCATCTTCAACATTCTGTTGATCAGGGCTGTGCCTTAAAACCATGCATCCAGAAGCTCAGTTTTTGTAACTTTGACGGATCATCAAATCCTGACAGAATATATCTATTACATTTTGGCCTAAAACAGATCATGGGTATCGACATATGTGCAGACACAATGGTTGGTGATTCCATGACAAGAGGGATCTCAGGTGGACAAAAGAAAAGATTGACAACAGGTAAATGTTCCATCTCTTGTGTCAAAGCTTTGTTTGGTGAAGATATCCTGTATTAACAACATAAGACTAGTACACGTAGGTTAGTCCTTGCTGGTGAAAATCTGTGAACGTGATTGTAAATAAGCATCTGCTCCGACTAAACCATTTATTTTTTCATGTGATTGCCACCATTGGATCTTTCAGGGGAGATGATTGTTGGTCCAACAAAAGCTCTTTTCATGGATGAAATTTCAACTGGTTTAGACAGTTCCACAACATTTCAGATAGTAAAGTGGCTCCAGCAATTAGCGCATATTACGGAGGCTACTTTACTGGTTTCTCTTCTTCAGCCAGCACCAGAGACATATGAGCTATTTGATGACGTTATATTAATGGCAGAAGGAAAGATTGTCTATCATGGTCCCCGAGATCATATTCTTGAGTTTTTTGAAGAGTGCGGTTTCAGGTGCCCAGAGAGAAAAGGAGCAGCAGATTTCCTCCAGGAGGTAGGAAAAATATTTTCATTGGCAATGCCTCTTCGTTGAAAGCCAACTATTTATATTGTTTTCAGGTTTTATCCAGAAAAGATCAAGGACAGTACTGGTGCCACACAGACAAACCCTACAGCTATATTTCTGTTGATTATTTCTCTAAGAAGTTCAAATCACACAAGCTTGGAAGAAGTTTACAAGAGAAGGTTTCAGAATCATACAAGTCCCAATCAGACAAGAATGCTCTATCCTTTAGTGCTTACTCTTTGACCAGATGGGAATTATTTAAGGCTTGCGTAGCAAGAGAATATCTTCTCATGAAACGGAATTCATTTGTGTATGTATTTAAAACAACTCAGGTAACAATTAGAAAAGAACAAAAACTGAGTTCAAAGTTACAGCCCCCTCAAAGCCTTTGTAGCTCATGTTTGACACCTGTCTTTCTCTTTCAGCTTATGATTGTTGCTTTCATTACAATGACCATTTTCTTACGTACTCGGCTGAGGGTTGACGTGATTGATGCAAATTACTACATGGGCTCCCTGTTCTATTCACTTGTTTTGCTCATGGTGAATGGATTTCCTGAATTGTCCTTGACAGTTTCAAGGCTGCCTGTTTTCTTTAAACAAAGAGACTTCTACTTCTACCCTGCATGGGCATATGCTATTCCAGCATCTGTCTTGAAGCTTCCTATTTCACTGGTCGAATCATTCATTTGGACAGGTATAACCTACTATGTTATTGGCTACAGCCCCGAGGCGGAAAGGTAGGTGTAACATTTCCTATTCTAGTGATTGTGGATTGGAAATATTTTCTATTCTAGTGGTTGAATTTTTCGTCCTGTAACTTCATTTGATGAATTCTTAGGTTCTTCCGTCAATTCCTCCTACTTTTCTGCGTTCACCAAATGTCAATATCCTTATTTCGTCTCATTGCTGGACTTTGTCAAACTGCTGTTGCTGGTATAACAAGTGGTATCTTCTTGTTGCTAGTGATCTTTCTATTCGGTGGTTTCATCCTACCAAAACGTAAGTTTGAGTCCACATTTTCTTGTGCTTTGCCACAAATAAAAAAACAAAGATGGGCATAAATTGGTTTTGTTGCTGCAGCCTCCTTACCGGTTTGGTTGGCATGGGGATTCTGGCTTTCACCGATGACATATGCTGAAATAGGGCTAAGCATAAACGAATTCCTTGCCCCACGTTGGGAAAAGGTAAATCAAGACTTATTCTCCTATTATGAACCTGGGAGCATGATTATTTTTCTACTTGGATAATCAACTGACACAATTTAATGTCAATATCCACAGCTCTCCCCAGCAAATATACCTATAGGGAAGCAAATATTGACGAGTCGGGGACTAGACTACAAAAGTCACTTTTATTGGATATCAGTGGCAGCACTAATCGGCTTTTCAATACTGTTTAACGTTGGATTTGCTTTGTCCTTGACGTTTTTAAAATGTATGAATAGGACTCCTCTAACCCTGCTGTGTTTTACGGCCTTCAGTTCATAATCTATTCTCCATTTTCTCCTACACTCTCTAAAGTATCTTATCATTCAGCTCCTGGCAGATCCCGTCCCATCATTTCTTGGGAGAAGCTTTCTGAACTGAGAGCACGAGAAAACCAGACTACACCTGAAAATCACAAGGATGATGAGACTATCGCTTCCCAGGAAGACACAAACGAGCCAAAAACAGCTGGTGAGTTCTGAATGCTATGCTTTCTCAATGAAATGAAAAACGATTGGCGAATAGAAACATTACAGGCAGTACAGGATAAACATACTAACTCTCAGGGGTACCCTGGTTGACATTGCAGAGAAGATGGTTTTACCGTTTGATCCCCTTGCAGTAACATTTCAAAATGTGCAATATTACGTTGACACTCCACAGGTATCTTAATGGTTAACACAAACAGTATGACACAACACGAGGCAAAATAATACATTACAGTTTATAATGTTGCGTCCTGACACAGGAAATGAAGGAACAAGGTCATACCGAGAAGAAACTTCAACTGCTCCATGATATTACAGGAGTGTTCCGACCAGGTATTCTTACAGCACTGATGGGCGTCAGTGGAGCGGGAAAAACAACCCTCATGGATGTTCTTTGTGGAAGGAAAACTAGTGGTTTCATTGAGGGAGACATAAGGATTGGAGGGTACCCTAAAGTCCAAGCAACATTTGCTAGAGTATCTGGTTACTGTGAACAGACAGACATACATTCGCCACAAATCACTGTGGAAGAATCCTTGATGTATTCAGCATGGTTACGTCTTCCACCGGAAATTGATCCAAAAACAAGAGCAGTAAGTTAATCCCAACATGTCCAACTATTAACTATCCATCCCAAAAGTTTTGAATCCCCTTTAATTCAAACATGCTACATTGAACTACATTTCATACTCTCATATTAAGTGCGACGTGATGTCATGTTCAGGCATTTGTAAATGAGGTCCTGGAAACCATTGAACTCGACAAGATTAAAGATGCTTTGGTGGGTATAGCTGGTGTCAATGGTCTATCCACTGAGCAGCGAAAACGATTGACAATTGCAGTGGAGCTTGTTTCCAATCCCTCCATAATATTTATGGATGAACCTACTTCAGGGTTGGATGCCAGAGCAGCAGCAATTGTCATGCGCGCGGTGAAGAATGTTTCTGCAACAGGAAGAACAGTGGTCTGTACGATCCACCAGCCAAGCATTGATGTTTTTGAGGCATTTGACGAGGTACTAATATAAATGTTGCTACTAGATTCTGGCAGTTTTAAATACATTATTGAAAAGTTGGATCTACAACCTAGCATTGATAACCGACTGGTTAAAACTGATATCGTTTCTAGACTAAAAATGTTGACAGTGGATTGAAAAAGTAGCCTATCACAAGAAGCCTTCCCATAAGTTTTTGCCTAAACAGTCCTGCCTTGATTGGGAACACGAACGCCAGTTTAAGTATATGGTCCTACTTTGCCAGTTTTCAATTAGTTTTGAATTAGATAACTCAATCCTTTAGAATGGTACCAAAGCACCATGCTCTATCTCTCGATGGTGCATACAATATTTATATTGTCTACTTGTCATAACATAAAAAAGCATGTCAACATGTGAGAGGACATGTTTCAATAGTCCTACACTGTCTAAAAACAAAGAATATATGAGCTTATTCGAACCATTGCGAACTAAATATCTATATGAAATTACAAACTTATTTCCAGAAGGTGGTCCATCTCAGCGAAATGTTCATATGAAAAGTTTGGCCTGAATGACACCACCATTATTAGAATAGAAAATTGCAATTAATAGGAAAGTGAACCTCAAAAACCTAAATAGTGGCATGTGATGGAGCATAGGTTCTCACACTAAATAGTGGGATGTGATGGAGCACATCAAGCCTAACTAAACGTATGGTTCACTCTTCTTGCAGCTTATGCTAATGAAAAGAGGTGGGCGGCTGATCTACGCTGGACAATTAGGACAGCATTCAAAAAATGTGATTGAATACTTTGAAGTAAGTTCAACTCAGCCATTCTCAATTCTTTGTCTGCATCAACAAGTGCATAGATAGGCAGGTTATGTTAGGCTTTTATATACCGGCTTGTCCTTCGTGCTTAAATTTTCACTTGCATTGATCACAAATCTAGAATGATATACCTTAGCCGATTGTAAGATACCTTTCTAGGATGATCACAAATCTAGCATGATATTTTTTTACTTATTGTTTTGCTTATAAAAAACAATTTACTTCCCATTTGAGACATTAATAAAAACTAAAACTGAAAAAACTAGGCGATTTGCTTTTAAACCCAGCTTGCTATTTCACTTGCTTACAAATAGCACTGTTCAAAAGAAAAAGATTTGTGTAAATTTTTAATCATAGAACTAATCACTGAAGCAAAGTTTCCTTGGCTAATGCTTGTTAACCATGGCTATTGAGAAGAAAAGAATATGAACGTTAGTCTAACATTACTAAAATATATGGAGTGTAACCGTGATGATGAAAATGACCAGGAAAAAGCTACAACTGATGGAGAAAAAATCTGCGTTATTATATATTTCAAAACCAGCGCTGACCATGTAATAACATAACAATGAGATCAGTGACACTATCAACATGATTGGGGAGCATTATGGGATCTAGGATACTATTTAATTGATGGGTCAGAAATCAATATTCTCCAAAAATCAGACAGAGTAGTAAAAAATGAACAGTGGAATAGTATGAAAATCACAAGGCCAAGCTAAACTGATAGGTCGTGGCAGACGAAACAATGACTCATACGTGAAGATTCTAATTGAAAACAGGAAGGGTCGTCATATAGATGTAACCTGAAAAATCTGTGCTCTAACATATAAAGGCAAGAACAGCAATATCTCTAGCTGGAACGGGAAAGCTGAGAAGAGCAATGAAATATGAATATATATGGAAGAGACTGGAGGATACTCTCTCAGAACATTTGTTGATTAGAAAGCCTTACAGAAAAAAATTGAAATTTGGGGCTCACGAGAACTGCTGATAAGTTGGCACACGTACTTGTTGGCAAAAACATTAACGTTATGCTATTTAAATAACAGCATAATTTCACTACGAATCTGTGAGGACTGGTTGTACTTTGTTTGAAAGACAAATGATGCATGCCACCGAAAAAGTCCTAAAATTCGTGAAGCATATGAGGGAATGGAGGCGATATAAAATGTTATCTTTTAGTATAAGCGCTGCATTTCTGAAGAAACCATAGAACACTGGTCTGAACTGAAATTCAAATACGGAATTTACCTTTAGCTCTCTGAAATGAGTGATGCCATGAATTACTACAAAGTTTAAGGCAATTCCTTTCTTGTTTGATACATCATGAGTTATCCCATTATATGTCCTTTCTTCAGGTAGCATTTAATTTTTCAGCTGTTATGTATGATCCTTGCCATTATATGTTCGATGTTTATCCCACCTGGCTTCTCTTGAGACATATCCTCATGATATTTCATATACCAGGGTATTTCAGGTGTGCCAAAGATTAAAGACAATTACAACCCAGCAACATGGATGCTTGAAGTTACGTCAACAACTATGGAGATGAAACTTGGCGTAGACCTTTCACAGCTCTACAAAGATTCGTCCATATACAAGTTAGAAAACTTTCCGGCCCATATATACCAGTCACTTATTCCGTATGAGCTTGATACGATAAAATCAATTAGTTTGTCTAATAGCGTTCATGTCAACGGCAATAAACCATATGAGCTAAAAAAGGCCAGAGACCAAGCTATCAAAACTTGGCTAGGTTAGGATGGCAAAAATGGAAAAGCTGGACCCTTCTTTCGTCGATATTATTTCTATGGATGGTGATGATAACAGCAGTGAAAGGTAGACCTTAGGAATAGAAGGGGATCTGCTACCTTGAACTAGCATTTTGCCGTTCGCATGATGTTTATAAAGAGATCATTGATAAAAAGGGGAATCAGGTCAGTCTACACAGATGGTAGTTAGCTGACAGCTATCCTGGAATAATTTACCCCGAAGATCTGTGAGATATGAAACCTCGGTTGCGCCAATTATGAAAAAAATGTTCTCTAGTTGAGTTACATGCTACTATTTTTGTTATGCAACAGGCAAGTTCAGCAGCAATTTATTGACAAGTAAAATGTGTAAGTACTGTTTGATTTTGTGCAGGAACAACTTAGACCTTGTTCAGCAACATAGCAAACCTCCACAGGGTTCAAAGGACTTGCACTTCCCAACAATTTTCCCACAAAATTTTTGGGGCCAATTCAGAGCTTGCTTATGGAAGCAATCCTTGTCCTACTGGAGAAGCCCTCAATACAACTTGGTGCGCCTAATATTTGTAGCCATCTTATCAATAGCACTCGCAGCAGTTTTCTGGCAGCATGGAAGAACATTGTAAGTTTTCAATAATTCGGCATTTGGGCATCTTTCTGTTGATGAATTTAGTGAACACAATATCTAGTGAGACCACAGAAAAAAAGGAAACTAGAGACTCTAATCTTTGGCTGAGTACAATAGTACCATGAATGCATACTGACAACTACAAGCCCAGAGGATAAATTCTTAGTCCAAGAAATCGTAGGATGGATACAAATTAAGCTGGGACGATTTATTGAATTTTTCTTAAAAAAATGGGAAGACTCTGTGCTCTGAAGAATGCAGGAAACCCAGCAGGATAATTGGCTGTGAAGATCAATTAAAAAAGTATCCACAAAAATATTTTTACTCTCTGATTTTTGTCTTAGTATCTTATGCATGAAAAATAGAAAGAAAAGACAACAAGACGATTGCACTTCACGAAACCCAATTCAATAACTCATCCTAAAATTATCAACATAAAATCTATAGCTCATGCTTGCATTTTAATTCCTACTGCCATGACTAATACCTGATTCTTTCTGTGTGAAGAAACAACCAACAGGATTTGTTCAACATGCTAGGATCAATGTTCATTGCCATGATCTTTTTGGGAATAAACAACTGTTCATCAGTTCTACCGTTCATTGCAATCGAGCGAAATGTCGTGTATCGGGAAACATTTGCAGGAATGTACTCTTCCTGGGCCTATGCCTTTGCACAGGTGCACCCACCTTTAACGTATAAAATTTTCTCTCTTTGGATCATCCATTCAAGACCACTGTTTTTTTCTGCCTATCTTAGCTAATATTACACTTCTCTTTTCAGATGGCCATTGAGATTCCCTATGTATTTGTCGAAGCAGTAGTGTTTATGGGTATTGCATACTCAGGAATTGGATTCTACTGGTCTTCCTACAAATTCTTTTGGTTCTTCTACACAATCTTCTGCACACTGCTTTACTTTAATTATCTAGGGATGCTCCTTGTGTCATTGACACCAAATATTCAAGTGGCATCTATTTTAGCATCCGCATTCTATTCAATGATGAATCTCTTCTCGGGCTTCATTGTCCCTGGACCAGTAAGTACTCCATAAACAATTTATATTACCTTGTTTTTCTGTTTCTACATCTCATTCTTTGAGACTCAAAGCTTCATATTCTCAGAATCGGATTAGGAGACTACGTCACATGTAGAAGACTGTAGAATTTTTATGATTCTAAGAGGATACAGAAAACAAACTCTTTAACCTGTTCTGTGTAATATCCAAAAGAGAAAGTAAGCTGTCAAATGAAATAGCTTTTGAAGAAGATGAGTGAGATCTGGGGGCTGATGACCAAAAAAATAAATAAATGCATTTCTTCATTCAAGATTCATTGTATTACAAACTACTAATTTTACTCATTCTTGTTACTAACTTGCAGCAAATTCCAAAGTGGTGGATCTGGTTCTATCACATCTGCCCAACATCCTGGACTCTGAATGGACTCTTCATTTCACAATATGGGGACATAGCCAAGGAGATTACAGTATTCGGAAAATCAAAGTCGATTGGGTCCTTCATAGATGATTACTTCGGGTTCCACCGAAACCAACTCCCTCTTGTGGCTGTCCTCCTCGTTCTTTACCCTCTCGTCATCGGTTCTCTATTCTCAGTTTGTATAGGGAAGGTAAATTTCCAGAGGAGGTGAAGGGATAAAGAAAGACATGCAGGCACATCATGTATACTTATAATTCACAAGAAAATATTAATGGACATTCCACAACAGGCTACTACAGCAATGAAGACCAGGATCGGTGGTTACCAATGGGAGCCCCTAAAATGCTGGTGCAAAAAATGTGTGCCTGCGGCTGGACTTTGCCTGAGGCCTGATGCTTCTCTCCCTTCCAAGAATCCCAACAGATGACTGCGTCCTGTTTAATCTGACTCTACAGGGAGAAAAACTAGAGTGTACGATATGATACAGATCATTTTTTCCTGATTTTAGAAAAAATAAGAAAAAACTTGATTTGTATCATTACATCTGTAAATCCCAATAGATGAATGGGACAAGTTCTGCAACCCAACCCAGCCTGGGCCAGGAAGAAAAGTATGAGCCTGCCAGTTCGTATTTGTGGAGATAAGGATACCTGCATACATTTATGCATACATCCAAACATACATATGCATATGCATGTAAATATAGACAGATAGGGATAGAGATAGATAGATAGATAGATAGATAGAGAGAGAGAGATAGAGAGAGAGAGAGAGAGAGAGAGAGAGAGAGAGAGAGAGAGAGAGAGAGAGAGAGAGAGAGAGAGAGAGAGAGAGAGAGAGAGAGAGAGAGAGAGAGAGAGAGAGAGAGAGAGAGAGAGAGAGAGAGAGAGAGATAGTTTCATATATTCAGATATATGAGAAGAAAACCAACTGAAGAACTAGTAAAGAAAAGATAGTTTCTAATGACTACAAAATAAAATCTGAGTTAGTGGAGGACTTTTTCAATCAGCAGGTTATTTAACTTGCATCAAAAACTAAAAATCCTATTAAATTATAGAGGAATGAGGATCCCTTACAAATCAGATTGGAAACTGATGTGCACACTGGCTAATTGAGCACGAATAGAACCTCAGTACAGCTCAGATTTGACATGACTAAACAGATGCATATCTTCCACTTTACAAGCACCATCCATAAGCCAACTTGCTATGCTACTAAAGTAGATCTAAGTATAACATGAAGAACTTTTGAAAGCAGTGAACATGGTCGACTCATGCTTCATATGGCTGACTTTAACACATTCCCAAAAAGACGAGACCGAGGATGGTGGTGTGGTGACCCTTGCATAGGGAGAGGGATGAATGGATGCACAATAATTTAGGACTAGTCCTAACATTAACACTCCTAAATATACAAGTGGACATATGAGCAAGACTAGGATCTCCCTATAGAAATGCTCCTGCGAATGGAACTTTCTAACAATCAAGCACTGTGAACAAATTATCATCTCAGAGAGGAGACACATGATTTACAAGACTTAGACCCATTGATTATTGTAAATTGGATCGGATTGTGCAGTTTTTTTCTGCAGTGCCTCGACATTTCATGAGCGTGAAAGAGATTCAAGAACCCTCTTTTTAAAAGGGCTAAAAATAATTAGCTTTTCGGGAAATTTCCAAACGAACAATTTCAACGAAATCTTTCAATTTCTTATTTTACTATGTTCAACTTTATGTATTCTCCAGAGGAAATAAACCCTAAAAAGGAAATTTATACATAGAAACATCATCAAGAATGCTATCTTTCAAGAATAAAACATTATCAAAGATGACCACAAACATGAGAGGAGAGACATGATTTACACCTGTGCAACCCATGGGAGATGTAAATTAAAAAAGAAAAGCTATTTATAGAAGTGTCTCCAAGAATGGCGATTTTCAACATTCCAATATTATGAAAAAATGATTACGCCCATAAGACAAGTTACATGATTTACACTAGTGATACTTGGGGAACATGTCACTCAACATATGGAAACCTATTTATACAACTGTCTCTGTGAATGATATTCCCAACAGAAGATATAATTAAAAACGTATCACACCCATGAGAGGAGAGGCATAATTTACATCACGAGTCTTGTGAGAAGCATAAACTAATGAAATATAAAAAAAAATTCAATGCTTCAAACTGCAGATTCTGCAAGACAAGCTAGATGTCTTCACACAAAGTGGTGATCCAATGCCCCTGTGGTTTCAGCATAACTGTGCTCGATATGAATCAGTTCTGCCCGACAAAGGGGGCATGTAGGCAGCTTCCGCCCTGCATTCTCTGAGGTGGCCATACTGTCAAGAAGGCACTGATAGTGGAAAACGTGGCCACAGGGGGCACACGAGAGCTCATGTCCAACCTCATAGTCGTCCCGACATATGGGACATTGATCTTCTTCTAAGTACTCGCCTTCACCAGGCCCATAATTGACTGCCCTGAATGCTGCCATTGCTTTTTCCAGTGAGGCCCGCCTGATTGCCAAGGCCCGGGCAGCAGCTGCCAGACCTTGTTGGGTGCGGATTAGCTCCAAGAGGTAAATGAACAGCGCATAGGTGCCTAGCAGCACAAGGATAGAAATTGTAAGTAGGCAAAGAATCCCAGTGATCTGCCAGCCGTTTAAGTATCCACCTAGGTAAGTGACCCTTTGAATGATAAGCGCCCATCGGCCTTCCTCCAGCTGCATATCTCCCATGTTAATGTGTGTGAAGTTTATTTCCATAAAACAGAAAGAATAGGTGGCTATAGCAAGCTGTGCAAAAAACAACAGCAAGAGAAAAAGATGGGAATTCTTAACATTTTAACCCAAGGGAAGTACAACTCCTACCTAGAAATTCTAAGCATTTTACATAGAGTGAGAGAGAGGCAGAAAGACACAGATATATATAGATAGAGAAAGAGGTAATGCTGCCAAACTTCACGTACTAAGAGTGCATTTACTGAATAAATAAAATGTTTAAAATAGCGGGAGGAGGGAGGAAGGGAGGGAGGGAGAGAGAGGGAGGGAGAGAGAGAGAGAGAGAGAGAGAGAGAGAGAGAGAGAGAGAATGAGCATGAGCTCACGACCAAATGTTGCATGCAGAAATAAAAAAAGATTAAAAAATATTTTGACTATGTTAAGAACAAATGGACGTTTTGACAATAGGTAAAGGCGGAGAAAACATGAATGGAAGCAGTTAGACCGGTTGTGAACAGGGCTTCCATATCAAAAACTTGATCCTCAACTGAAACTGATGAAGAATATTTATTACATTACTTGCTTTTACCATGTTGCTCCTCAAATCGAAGCTTTATATAAATATATACATTACTTTGAGTAAAATATTTAGCTCTTTAGTTCAAAATAAATGAATGTTAAATTATTCACTCCATAGGCAAAAAGATTGGTAAGAAACCATCCTGATAGTCATTGGAAGTAATGAAATTAGTAGAAACAACTGCTAATAGTGCATGCTCTGCAGAAGGGAACTGAACAAGATGTGAAAAATCCTTACCCGTTGGGTCGTTTTACACTTCAAGCAAGCCACTTCTAGACAAGAGAAATAACCCTTCATGGAAAATAAAATCATTTTTTAAAATGTCAGTGGCAGAACTTTATGTATACTAAGTTCCACATGGGTTTGTCATTTACCCATTTCATTTAGGTTAATCTATTTACATTGAAGGCTAAGCTACCTAGAAATGATAATGGTGATTTTATACTATCAATAACTGCCAATTCACTTGATTAGAAAATTTAAAGAAGAAAGATTTAAGAGGATGCCATGCACTGCCAATTAATAACTGGAGACAGTTTTTTGGTGAGTCAAGAAGTTGTGAAGAGATCTAATGCCATAGAGTGAACTCCTGAAGCAATTCACAAGAAGAGATCTAATGCCACATTGATTTTGAATCAAATGAAAAGAATCCTACATGGAATAGATACAAGAATTGAATCTGCAACGTCAATTTAGTTTGTTATCTAATTAAACCTTAATGCCTTCTGCTACGGATGAACCATGATGTTTCATGACGCAGTAACCTTTACCAACAATCAAAAAGATCATCTCTCATGATAATTTTATTCTACAGTCCTTTTTAATTTTTTTCTGACCGGTAAACTCTTATTCTATTATGTATCATAACCATCAACATCTTCATCACTTCTGCTCAAATAACCTGAAATCCTCTGAGAATAATAAGATTTTTTGGAGGATATTGCACAAAATCCGTTTAAAACAAGCAATTCACAGTAAAGTTAATGCTCTACGGTCAGGAATGAGACGACGGGGGCAGAGAAGCGTTACAGGAGGAGAACTTCAGAAAGCGAAGGAATACGCCCAAGAAGAAAAGCAAGAAGGTAAAGAATAATCCACTCAGCCTTAAACATATTGGCGACCAAAAGAAACAAGGATTCTCGACAACCACAATCCTCCAATGGCCACACCTAGAACGAGGATTCACCGAGGGAGAGGGAGAGGCAAAGGGAGAGGGCTCTCACCTCCAAGCAGCGAATTCAGGATGAGACCACGACGCTCAGCCCCCAGGGAACCACAGTCGATGGCGGCGCTCAGCCGAATCTTCCTGGAAGATGGGAGAGAACGCTACTCGACTCTCGATCCCATCCAACTGAGCCGTTTTCCAAGCCCAAAATTACATATTAGAGGATAAAATAATGGTTAAACTAACGGTACAATAAAGGATGAAATATTTCGGATCTATAAATATAAAAGGATACTGGAGCTTCTGAGTTACGTCTACGCCGGTTTCTCTGGCTGCGGTCTCTAGAGCTCGAAGAAGCCTCTCCAGAGGACGATGGGGGCAGCGGGATTTCGCCGTCGTACCTTCAGGGAGTGGCGGGATACATCTCTTGCTGTGGCAACTCCGTCGTCGCGCCAGTCGCGCACGTCGCCGGCGGCAGCCCTCATCACCCCGCGTTCGTCGGAGATGTTGAGGAATGCGAGGAATGGCAGCAGGGTTCTGCCGGTCCTAGATCTTCCCGTAGTGCAGATTCTCGAGAAATGCGGTGACTCGAGGCCTGAAGAAGTCCCCCAAAGATGGCGGGATGGAGACACCGAGCCGGTGGCTCGGGCCATTGAGAGCCATGCGGGATCTGAGGCTGCCAGCCGAGGTTAGTATCTTCACTGCGCTGCCGTTACCAGATAGATCCAGAGTGACGGATAC